CGATACTTACTATGCCTTTAGTAATACATCACAGACATTCTATTTCCTTTCATTCTTTTATGGTTTGCACCTACATTTGTTGCTGACTCATGGCCAGACTATTGTTTGGTTTTCCAGAATGAATAGAAGCTTTCTGCTATATTTTGCTTTCCATATTAGGCATGAATTCTTACTCTGCAGCGTGTCTTTGACTCCCTCATTAACCAAACGATCATTTAAACCTAAGTCAGAAAAAAATACATAAGTTCAGATTAAGCATCAGTCAACCCATGCTTTTAATAGGAATGAACTGGTGGTGCTTTTCAGTTTACTGCCTTTCTGTAATGGTTTGTCTCCTAGCTACAAGGGGCTATTTTGATAAAGTCAGTTTCGAGACCAGTGGAGCAAGAGATTGTTATAGGACATTGTAACTGAAACTTGTAGTTCTTTTGACAAAGTCTCTCACTGTGTCTTTGTGTACGAGATGAGAAACATGTGCAGTAGAGGTTAGACAATAACTGGAAAGAGTCACACTTCAACAGTCAGAGAGGGCTGAGTCCTGGACTTGTGTTCACTTGAGGTGCAGGTTCTGGTGATGTGGCTCATGTTTTATTTTTTTTTTGTAAATCCTCACCCAATGATATTTTTCCCCATTGATTTTTCAAGAGAGTGGAAGGGAGGGAGAGAGACACAGAGAGAGAAACATGGATGTGAGAGAAACACATCCATTGGTTGCTTCCCTCATGCGCCCCAACCGGGGCTGGGGATTGAGCCTTCAACCAAGGTACATACCCTTGACCGAAATTGAACCCGAGATCCTTCAGTCCAAGGGCTGATGCTCTAACCACCGAACAAAACCAGCTAGGACGTGGTTTATGTTTGATCTTGGCCTAAATATTTGATATTTTCACCAGTGACTTTTTTGATGAAGACAGAACACATTTTAAAATGTACAGAATATACAGAGTTGAGTATAATGGCTAGTTCATGGACTGTAAGAGATAGGATTTTTAAGGGTATTGATGAGATTATACAGTGTACACTGGGATCAGACTGACAGGGCAGTGTTTGACACAAGTGAGAGGAAACAAATCCAAATGAATAAGTACAGAATGAAGTAATCACCGGAAGCAGCCAAAATCATTATTTTCTGTCATACCCAATACGCAGTGATGGCGAACCTTTTGAGCTCAGCGTGTCAGCGTTTTGAAAAACCCTAACTTAACTCTGGTGCCGTGTCACATATAGAAATTTTTTGATATTTGCAACCATAGTAAAACAAACTTATATTTTTGATATTTATTTTAAATATTTAAATGTCATTTAACAAAGAAAAATCAACCAAAAAATGAGTTCGCATATCACCTCTGACACGCATGTCATAGGTTCGCCATCACTGCATAGAGCATTAGTAACTTGTGGTGTTCACAGGCCTTAGAAGTTAAAAAAGGGGGGGTCTTGGGATCACTGAGTAACACATGTGGGGAATTCTGAGGCTAAGCAAAGTTTAACACGGGGGTGGGCAAACTTTTTGATTCGAGGGCCACAATGGGTTCTTAAACTGGACCGGAGGGCCGGAACAAAAGCATGGATGGAGTGTTTGTGTGAACTAATATAAATTCAAAGTAAACATCATTACATAAAAGGGTACGGTCTTTTATTTCAATAGTTTTATTCATTTCAAACGGGCCGGATCCGGCCCGCGGGCCGTAGTTTGCCCACGGCTGGAACATGTTTCTTTACTGATGACCTTCTAAGCTTCTAATATGTTAATGTACATTAAGAATTTTAAGAGGTGGGTATAACATGCAATGTTTCCTTAATTCATTTAACCTTTTTATGAAGCATTTTGCTGGATGATTGATCTGGTGGATACACTGGGAAACACTGACTCAGAGGTTTTAGTTGAGTGGAAACCCTGTGCAAGCCTGTAGTATTGAACAAAAGCAAGTAATCCAGTTATATTGGATGAGAAATGAAGGGTCCATTCCCAGCAGGTCATATGTGGAGAATAATTTTCTAAAGGACAGTGGCAAATCAAGCCATGTCATATGAGGAAGAAATAAAAGGAATGGGGATGAGGTGGCATGGACATGACAGCTTTGGTAAAATACTTAAAAGGCTGAAGACTTCTGGGTTTCTGGTCAGATGGATAATTATAATGACAGTAACAACAGCAAATACTGACATGGCCCTTGCTATGTGCTAGACACTGTTCCAAGTGCCTTTCACTTGTTAACTCATTTAAATCTTACAACTCTATGAGATAGGCCCTATTAATAGTTCCACTTCATGGCAAAAGAAAATTAAGACACAGAGAGATAAAGTTATTTCCCAAGGTCACACAGCCCATAAGTGGCAAACAGGGGTCAAACTCCTGGAGCCTCTAATTCTATTCGTTCTGCTGGTGGATTTCAGCTCAGGCTGAAGACACTTTTAATAGGGCTCCCTGGACATAAATATTTAAGATCGTCCATTAAAGATGTTTGCTCTTGTGCATGGGTGGTGTTTATATAGAGTCTAAGAGAATGCACTAGCGGTGGTTAGGAGTTTGAGCTCTATGACTGCCAAAGGCCTTACAGCTCTGTGGTGCCATTGCAAGATGAATTCACTTCTGTGGGTCCCTTTCAGCTTTTAAATTTTCCATAAAGTACCTCAAAAAGTGCTCAACAAAAGCTTTTAGCAGAAGCTTGAATTTACACCATTTGCAGCTAGGAAATTTAAGGTTAAACAACTCATTACAATGTTGGGAAATTTGTAGTCAGGGGTAATGACTGGTACTGCTGAAGTGGTGGGTGTTGCAAGGCAAGTGACCTGTTGATCTAAATGCTACTGCCTTCCTATGTGAAATGTGAATAGAATCTTTATTAACAAACCACATTCAAGGGAAGCAACATGGGTTTGCAATTCAAATGCACATTGCCTGTATAATACTAAATAGCCATCATATATTCAGTTTAAATTGGTCTCAGAATAGGTAGTGCCCTTGGGTTCTTGGCAAAGTGAATGAAAATCGTTACTAGAGAAGGCATTTTCAGTCAAGGGCTCAAAGCACCTCCAGAAAATATTTTAAGTTAAATGTAGTACATGGTAAAAAAATAATAAGTTCACAAGAAATCAAGGTGAGCAAGAAGCAGCAGAAATAGCAGACCGCAGAAGCAGATCCACAGTAATTTTATGTCTTGGAATCACTAGACAGAGATTATTTTTTGAAAACTGGTCATTCTGTTTAAGAGAAAACAACAGACATTGGAAAATATCTGCAGGGAACCACAATCTTGAGAAGTGACCTTAAAAATGACTAACTAGCAGTAGCTGGTTTGTTCTCAGTGGATAGAGTGTTGGCCCATGGACTGAAGTTGTGTGTTTGATTCGGGTCAAGGGCACATACCTCAGTTGTGGGCTCGCATCCCCGGCATCAGTTGGGAGGGAACCAATTGATGTTTCTCTCTCTTTGTCTCTCCTCCTCCCTTCTACTCTCTCTAAAAATCAAGGTAAAAATATCCTCAGGTAAGGATTAACAACAACAAAATGACCAACTAGAACTTCTAGATATTAAAAAGTACAATAACCAAAGTTTAAAACATACTGTATGAACTTACAACAGACAGAATGATTCTAAAGAGAGAAATAGATTCCAGGCAGAAGGGATTGTTTGCAACAAAGCATAAAGGACAAAAAAAGGGAAAACTAGAGAAATGCAGGCTAGATAGAAAACGTCTACATTTATCTTATAGATTTCTGTAAGCAGAGCAGACAGGGGATGGAAAAGAGACACTATTTGTTGAGATGATGACTGAGAAGATTCTAGAGCTGACTAAAGACTTGAACCCACAGGTTTCAGAAGCCCAGTTAATTCTAAAAAGTATAAATAAAACCCTAGAGACACAATACAAGACAGGAAAAGGACAAATTGCCTTCAAAGGAACAACAGTCAACTTTACTGCTGACTTCTTAGCAGTAGCAGCAGAAAAAGTGAGATAAAAGTGGAATAATATTTCAGTGTGCTACAACAAAGTAAAAACAAAACCCCCCAAACCTAAAAATCTATGTCCAATGAAGATAGCTATCAAGAATATGGATAAAAAAGAGAGATTTTTCAGATAAAACCTGAGATATTCACCGCCAGCAGATACTAAAGGAATGAAAAACAAAAAGGAAGTCGTCAATCTAACAATATAAAAAAATTAAAAGAGTCTTATGGGGTTAAAAAAGCAAGATCTAATTAAAATGCACAACTATGATAATATGTAAATCAAGTGATGGGTAAATATATTTTGAGCTTTCTAAAATCATTGTACTGCTTGGGAGGAATGGTATTTATTAAAATTTAGACTTTGAAAGAGGGAGAAAGAAAGAGGGGAAAATAAAGACACAGACAAAGAAACAGCAGGTCACCAAGAAACCAACACTAGGCCTGGCAGCTTGCATTCAGTATCAGCTCTGCCACCAATTAGTTGTATGGCCTTTGAAAAGCTACTTCTCTCATCTATGTCTCTTGTTTTTTGTGGGGTTTGTTTGTTTGTTTTTTTGTCTGTAAAATGAAGCTTTGGGACAAGATGAATTTTGAAACCTCTTCATTATGATTCTGTGACACATTGAGAAATAAATTCTTTAGAGAAAAAAGGAATCAATAGTTCTGAGTTATTTTTTTTCCTCCTTTGAAATTTTATCAATAAACACTTGTCTTTTACTTCTGGCTAACTTATATATCTGCTCAAACACTGGAGCTCAATATAGTCTCACTCGGGCGTGTATTTCGCTTTCCATTAGTTTGTTTTTTGTTTGCTTGTCATCTCGTAGCCAGAGTAATGGCAGCTCACAGCCTTAGGGGTAGATGGCTCATGTGAATGTTAGGGGGACCATTTGCAGAAAAGAGCTGCAAAAACTGGCCTTCATTGTACAACTTACTGCTTTTTTTCTTTTAACTCATGACCTCAACTGACATGTGCCTCCTTTACTTTCTCACCTTCTCTCCCCCCACCCCCCCCAACCCTTCTCTCTCCCTCCTGTCTCTGCAGGCCAATAATAAGCCTGAGATTGAAGCAGCCCTCTTCCTAGACTGGATGAGGCTGGAACCCCAGTCCATGGTGTGGCTGCCAGTCCTGCACAGAGTGGCTGCTGTGGAAACCGCCAAGCATCAGGCCAAGTGTAACATCTGCAAGGAATGCCCAATCATTGGATTCAGGTATTAGGAGCCCTCCAGATGTCAATTTTTTTGCATGTCCTTTCTTGCCTTTTAATGCCTTGATCTTTTACCTCCTGTACCAGTTGCTGTTAGTCTTCAAAGTGGGAAAGGAGGTGATCCATCACGCCCCTGACCACTGCGATATTTTGGTGGATCTGGCTCTTTAGGCAGGTGTCTCTCTCCACCTGTGCTTTTCAGCTCTGCAGAGGCACAGTCTTGGGTGAACACGACCGACTGCCTCTCTCCACTAAGATATGTGTCCGTCGACAGTATACAGATAAACCGTGCCTCCACCTTCCTGCAACCAAAACATTTTGACCATCTTTTTTTTCTTCCACTGTCTTTTCTGTTTATAGGCAGTATCCAAGAATTAGTTATAAAACTAAGGAATGATTCTATTTTGGGAGACCCGTCATGGTAGCTCAGTCTCTTATGCACTTTGTACCATTTCCCCCCCCTCCCCATAAAGTAATAAGACTTGTTTTAAGCACCCTGGAACTTCTTTATCTGCTAATCTGATTAGGCTCTTCACGTAGTATCCTAATGAACTTCTAAGGGAATATAAAGTATGCAAGTAAATGAAAGATTCACAAAGCAGCCATGAAAGGAAAATGTTCCTTATAAGTTTAAAAGTAAAAAGAGATAAGAAGCATAGCAGGTAACTGTCACAGAAAACAACTGGCTCTTAAACTTTCCACCTTGTTGACCTGTTTGGAGAAACAGAATATTTTTAAATGGATTCATCTTATTGAACAGTAATCCCCAATCCAAATTCTGAAATGATGATGTATTTAAACATCTGGGTCAACATCAAGGTTTCCTTAGTGATGTCTAAGTCATAAAGTTGTAAACTATAGTCCATGCCTGTTCAGAATCCACTTAGCCGCTAAGTAAATACTCTTCCTGGTTATGCTTGGACTTGTTTTAATACTTGGTTGCCTAATAACTACTTTGTGTCATTTGTGTGCTCTGTCCTTCCATACTTCATGCTCTTTACAAAGGGGCTTTACAAAAGCTTGAGAGCAGTGGTTCCCAACGTGAGGCACATGCCCCCGAGGGGGGCAATTTGATTTTTAAGGGGGACAATTTGAGAATGAGTTATTAACAGTGAATTTTTTGCATTTCTTATGGTTCTAGGGGTCTCATATATAGTATATAAATATATATTGTGACCTATTTATGCATTTCAGTTCTGTATTATGTTTTGAAACTTATTTGCTATTTTTTCATATCACTTCATATTATTATTTCTTAACAATTTCTAGTGATTTCTTCCTCAGTGCTTCAGCTGTCCTTTCGTTCTTTTATTTTTCTCTTTCATGGATGCCATGTTCTTTGGAAGCTTGTTTAGACCAATGAATAGCCTTTTAGGCTTCCTCCACGTGAATAGGAGTTCACTTTTTGAATAATAAGAATTATATCACGGGGGGAGGGAGGCATCAGGATTTTAGAGATGCTTAGGTGGGGCGTGGCCAAAATAAGGTTGGGAACCACTGCTTTAGAGGTTTCTAAAGCCTAGATAGACAACACTGAATAGGCAGTGCTTGCAGAGGACACCTTCTTTCCGTCCTGGTTTTGGCAGGTAAGAATGAATGCTGTGGCAAGGGCGGGTATGGGGAGCCACAGGGCAGAGCATTGCATTCCTTCTTTCCTGAGCTTCCCTCACTAGTAAGATGCATAGCGGGAAATTTTTATAAAAATAAGAAAGGAGATGCTTTGGAAGATCTAAGAGCATTTTTACATTCACTCCTTTTATCCTTATCAGATTCGATTATTTTAGGAATTAGAACTTCTCTTTCCGCCCCGCTCTCCCCTTTCCCTAAAGATGGTTGGGATCTAAAAATGGTATCTCCCCCTCCCCCTCCATTTCCCATATGTGACATAAGGAATATGTTTATTTGAATTGGCTCAAATTCTTACCTGAGAAAGCAAAAGGCAGAGAGAATGTGAAACAAAGGATACACTATTCAAAATGTACCGTCTAGTATGCACACATTATTAATTCTTTTCATCTAATCCAATTTTTGTGCTTTATTGGGGCTTAAGTTATCATTTGTGGGTAATGTGGTAAGGGATTTCTGAAGAGAGACAGATGAAAGAGATTATTCAAGTAACTCTGTGAAGATGAATCATGTCAATCAATCAGAAAAAGTAATTTAAAAAGATTTATTTTAATGGAAAGTTCTTCTTTAATTTTCTTTTGTTTTATGAAATTACTTCATATATATGTATATGTATATAAATAACAGACATCAATCAGACGGCTGCCTCTTGCACGACCCACTGGGGATTGAGCCCGCAACTAGGGCATATGCCTGACTGGGAACTGAATGACCTTCTGGTTCATAGGTTGATGCTCAACCACTGAGCCACACAGGCCGGGCTCATCTTTATATATATTTTTGAAAAAACTGCTTCAGAAAATTTTTGTTCCCATGATGGGTAGCAGGGGCTACAATACATGGATCTATCTCTCCTGGAAGTTCTTTCAAATTCTAGTATTTGGTCTTCAAAAGACGGGAAGTTTGCCAGTATCTTCGTACTTAATCTGAAAGAGTTCCTAGTGGAGTTTAAATAAGAACTGAATTTCTCTTCCCTCCTTCCATATGGTTATAGGATAATCTTTCTGCCAAAATGTGTTGATACTCTAGGAGAAGCACCAGACAAATCTGGAGGTAGGAAGTTAATCACTTACATTGTGGGATTAATGAACACCGCAGGCTGGTTTTAGCATTAAGACAGTGTGGAGGAAGGTTTATTAAAGAATGTTCTTTGGGAATTTGATTTGAAGAAATACATACGTGTTTGTTTTTGTTCTTTACCAGGTACAGGAGTCTGAAACACTTTAATTATGACATCTGCCAAAGTTGCTTTTTTTCTGGTCGAGTTGCAAAAGGCCATAAAATGCACTACCCCATGGTGGAATATTGCACTCCGGTAAGTTGGATGCCTCCCTGATGTGAGTGAGTTCGCCTGGGAGAAGTTTCCATTTGGGACAGTATTATAGCTCTTGTGTAATGCTGTGATGTCTACGTTCCCCAGATGTTCCACAGCTAAAGTGGCTCTAAATTGTGATGCCAGGATTTACTTTATCCCTAGTGCATAGGGCAAGGGCTGGCCCACGTGGACTGTTGTAGACACTCAACAAATACTGATGAGTGAATAAATAAGTTTTTCTTCTGTTTGCATTGGCTGTAGGGAAGACATTTTAACATTTGTTTTGCACAGCCCTAGCAGTCGTGTGGAGAGGTTTCATGGTCATTGGGCATGTTGGGTTTAGGAGTATAATGTGGGTTCCCCACAATTAATAATCTACCCCTTTCTAGCAATCTTGCTCATCTCCTATCTGTTTTATCTACTAACACTTGTCAAGCAAATGCTAGGTATTTACCTTTTAAACTACTCAGTGTGAAATTGGTATTATTTTTACCCCTCTTTTATAGATGAGGGCTCTGAGCTCCTAAGGTTAAATAATTTGCCCAAGGCTCTAGAATTACGAGGTGGAGCCTTCTAAGATGTTGTTTTGGGAAAATATTAAGTGGCTAGCAGGACTTTGGAAAATCACTGGCAGGAAGGAAAGGGCCTAGACCTGGTGGTTAGGCAAACCTGGGTGTAAATCCTATGTTCCTTCAGCACTAGCTGCTTCCTAGTCACAGCCTGTAAATAGCAGCACTGGCATTGCCTGGGAGCTTCCTTATTAGAAACCCAGAATGCCAGGCCCCGACTTTGTCAAGCAAAACCTGCATTTTCTTCAGATTTGCAGGTGGTTCCCACACACATCAATTCAAGAAGCTCTGCTTTAGAGTATTTCTCTCTTCCATCGTCAGAGTGATCCTCTCAGTGTTTCCATGGTCTTTCTCTCTTTTTGCAAGGGTATTTGCCGATGGAGAATGAACCGTGCTGTGAATATACTGAATGGGTGAAACATGGTATCCATATGGACAATAGTACATTTTTAAAATACCGTACAGTGTGGCAAAACTTAAGGTTAACTTTTCAACTTTAAGACTTCTAGAAATTACCACTTATTGAGTAACCCAGTAATTGAGGTACTTCATTTATTCAGTGTAACAACTTCTTGAGGTATGATTGTCCCCATTTCACAGCGGATCTGAGCCTCAGACAGGTAAATAACTCATTCACACAAGTTAATCCCACTAGTAAATGCCAGGCCTTATTTCAAAACCCTGGTTTTGTCTGATTCCAAGGCCTTTGCTCTCAACCCTTAATCTCTCCAAGATTACAGAACGAATGCCCTGAGTTGGAGCACTGGGGTGGTCCTTCTTATGGAGGCTTTACTCTCCCAAGTCTGATGTCAACCCAATTTTCCCTTTCAGACGACATCAGGAGAAGATGTTCGTGATTTTGCCAAGGTACTAAAAAACAAATTTCGAACCAAAAGGTATTTTGCGAAGCATCCCCGAATGGGCTACCTGCCAGTGCAGACTGTCTTAGAGGGGGACAACATGGAAACGTGAGTAGTGGCAAAAGCAAAACAGATTCTCATTTGATGTATATTCGGGCTCCTTTCAGCTGAATACCTTCCTTCACTCTGAAATGCAAACAGTCTCTCCTATTTCTTTCTCTGGATTTCGTTTAGATGAAAAGAGCAAAACAGGCTGATGTTGGCATTTTCTGTGTCAATTGTCTCATGACAATTACTTTTTCCAAAAGTTAAAGTTTATTTCACAGGGAAAACATCGTGCTCCAACTGCTAAATTACCTCTAAAAGCTTTTAAGAAATACGGGACTGTTTACAAATGAGTGATTCCAATATTTCATTCTGATTTTCTTCCCTCACAAATCAGTAGATGTGTGTCTCTTTGGATCTGATTGTGTGGTCATATTGAGTCACTTTTTTTCTATTTGAAAGAAGATAGAGTCACAGGAAATTCTTTCACAGTAAGTAGTAATGATTCTCATGATCAAGCTGAGGATGCCTTCACCTCACTTAAACCTTCTTCTCTCCACAACTCTGGTGGCAATCACACCACTGTTGGTTTTTCTTTTAATTCACTTTCCACTTTTCTTTGGCTGTTGCTTTCCATGGTTTATCCTTAATTGGTTAGGTTTTATTTCTTTTGACCTTTCAGTAATTTTTTTTTTGAGGCTGAGTTTGCCTGTGTCTCTTCACCACCTCATTTTTTGTTTTGCAGTCCTGTTACTCTGATCAACTTCTGGCCGGTAGATTCTGCGTGAGTACTTCTGCTGAAGGGTGCTGCTGCCACCAACACATTTGCTTGCTGATTTTTAAACTTTTGTTTGTTTGTTTTGTTTTAAAGACATATTGATTTCCTTTGTTTCATTTTGATTTATTTCTTCCCTTGCTAAAACTTTGAGAGTACCATCGACCACAGATCAGGAGAATCAAACTAAGGTTTTCAGGTCCCCACCTGGTCCAACTGGAACGAGCAGAAATCCTGGCCTTGAGTTCAAAAGCACATCAAAGAAATTATTGGGTTGTTAGTTGTGTTCCTGGGAGACATGTTTATATATTCAATTACAAGCAGGGAAGAGCTTTCTGATTACATGATACCATTCTTTAGCTATGTTCCTTGAGATTCCATGCTTTAAGGCCTTTGAAAGGATGATGGTTTATTCTTTAGGGCTTGTTAAAAGTGAACCATTAAATATCAGCAGAATCCATTGTATAGTGGGATGTTGAGTTGGGCTGAATAATTTCAGTAAGGTGTGCGGACTTTTTATCATGTAATGCCATGCTAATTGACTGATATTTATATACATGAGCTCATTTTTTAACTAAACTCACTTTGCTCTTCTCTCCTAAATATTCAGCTCATAAGCAGAAAAGTGTACTGCAGTCTTTATTACTATTGGCGTGTATTAATAATACTAATATTAGATCCAACAGATAATTGATTTATCTCAGAGTTTATAATGGTAGAAAATTCATTTTGGGGGTCTGTGATTTATGTATTAGCAAACAGTGTGCATGTTTTAAAATCATTGTGTGTTTTTTTTGATATTTAAAAGTGTACTTTATTAAAATATGTATTTAAAGTCAGACAGCTCTATTATATATAAGGGGTAAATGACCAATTTGGAAGACAGGCTTGTGTAAGAATTCAATTTATTTTTATTGGGTCTTTTTTATTGTTCCACCATGTAATTTAATTTAAAGTAGATCCTTTTTTAAATCCTGTAGTGATAAATGCAAACAATTAATTGAGATTTATTTTAGGTCTTTATTGGCCTAAAGGAAGTGTAAGGCATCTTTTTTAAACTGCATTATTATTCCCCTTAATTTTGAGATATGGGAGCTATAAGTAGTGAACTACCTGATTTCTTTAACCATCATGTGTAAACAACATGGGGAGAATTAATTCTGTTCCTTGTTGTTGGTAATCGTTTCCCCTAACCCAGGTAGTCTATTAGTTTATAGAAGTTAGACCCTTTCATAAATAAGAAGCTTTTAAAAAAATAGATGTGCTGAACTTCTCAGCTTGATTGGATCCTGATAAACAAATGAGTTTACTCTGGGTTGGAATAAGTTTTAACCAGTTAAAAAAATCCAAATGATAAATAGGCTAAAGAATAATTTTTAAAAATGCATGGATAGTGATAGTACAAAATAATAAGCAAAGAATAATAGTTCCTTGAAAGAAGAAAAAAATGTTTATTTAATACATACACTCATGAGAAAAAATTATGTCAATGAGTTTTTGGTGTGACTGATTTTTAACTACAGGGTATTTGTTTTAAACTTTTAAGAACTTTAAAATTAATAACAGCCTTTATTAAAATGTCTTCTCAGACAACTAAAACATGCCCTCATCTTGTCTTCTTATAAAAATTAACTAGATTATTCAGAAATAGTAGTAAGCTGTAATTTTAAAGAAGAAAACAAACAGCAGACTAAAGTTCCTGGTTTCTTTAACATCAGTCATCTTTTTAAGGTCCTTCCTCATAGGATTATATAATTTCTAAAATATACTGTAAAGCTATTCTATTCAGGCAGAAAGAAGAGCCAGGTCCTAAGGTGTTTTACTTTGCAAGAACTCTATCTGTCGTTAACAAATCCTATGATGATGACAGAATTTATTCCATTTACTATGGATCACAGAGTTTGAAAGTTTACTGAGGTACAGATCTTTCCTTTTTCCTTTGACAAAACCTTTATTTACCTATATCTGTCATATCATTTAAAACTAAATCTAGCATAAATCTTTTACATTGTTTGCCCACAAATGAGACAGTCAAATAACATTCTTTGAGTTATTCTCCTTTGAAAACTAAATGAATGAAAACCTAGTGGAATTTTCACAAAAGAGAAGATGGTGGTGGGTGTACTGGAATTGGCTATTAACTATAAAAAATAAATAAACCTTCTGTGTACATTGTTTTGTATTTAGGAAATAGGAAGGGAGAAGGGTAGTCTTACCTTCCCTTCAAAACGTGTTTTGGAAGGCCTTGCATTCATAGTTTTGCTTCCGGACTAAGTGGTTTTGTACTTTTACTAATTCTTGGTTTTTAAGTGCTTCTTTTCTGACCAGTACTCCCTTTTGGCTTATTTTCTGACTTAAAAAGTACCTCCTTTACTGTATATATATTTTTAGATTTCTGATTATTATGAGTTCTTGTGCTTATGCATGCTGTGTTAGGTGCTGTGTGCATTAATAAGAAAAATAACACGGAATTATCCTCAAGGCTAAGACTTAAAGCTCTGCATAAGATTTTCTGTATGAGATTTTTATTAAAGTGTTTTGGATTTACTTGCCTAGTTTTCTTGGTATAGTTATGCTTCAAGGTCTCAGGTTTTTCTTCTATACATTACCAGGGTAGCAACTATTATAAGGAAAAACATTAAATTTTTTTATGATGGTGGGCTTTTAGCTCATAAGAAGTATATAATTGAAAGACTGGTCTATTCCATAGATAGGGCTTATAAGCCAAATAATCAAAGTACCAAATTATCTTTACTTGCAGTGAATATTTCAAAACAGACCTTAGCATTTTCCTAATAATGGGCTGTTCCAGGGTTCTAAGAAATTACCAGATTAACTCTCTAAAACTTGGGTGAAGATACACCTGGAAATCTTTGGATATGCCTAGTAATTTGGGTAGTCATCCTTTTATTTCCTCTGGATAGTTTAAATGTCTTTATAATTCATTCCACCTTTGGTTATGGTGACTCGACTTAGACAACACTGATTGCTTAAATAAGACATTTATCAGAGGATACATCAGTTCCCCAGTGATTTGCTGTAGTGTGTTGTAATCATTTTATGATTGTGTGTTTTTTTAAGAAAGACGGATTTTTAGCGTATTTCCTATGTAAGCCTAGATAACTCCATGGTTTTCTTTTTTTATGTAAAAAAAAAAACCAAACATCTTAGTGTTTCTACCAAGTCCTTGAATGCTACTTGGACGTTGGACTAAACCAGTTCTAACTGAATAGATTACTGCTGACTTTTAGATTCATGCCTTTACCTAAGGCAGTGGTCGGCAAACCGTGACTCGGCAAACCGCGGCTCGTGAGCCACATGTGGCTCTTTGGCCCCTTCAGTGTGGCTCTTCCACAAAATACTGACTTCTGCGCATGGGCCATGAAGTTTTAATCGCACTGTATATGCACACCCGCACGTGGTATTTTGTGGAAGAGTCACACTGAAGGGGCCAAAGAGCCTCATGTGGCTCGCGAGCCACGGTTTGCCAACCACGGACCCAAGGGCTTTCTATGTTAGGAGAGAAATGGAAGCGACCCTTTGTACTATTCCAATTAAAACAAAAAGCACAAGCCCAAACTGGTTTTCAAAACAGATAGATGTTTTCCTAAGGTTAATCCAAAGGTACTATATCAACTTCAAGGATAATTAATAGATTGGATGTGAAAGAGTGGAAAAAATGTTAACCCCACCAAAATTCTAGTCTGTGGACCCAAAGAAGAGGTTTTTATGCCCCAAAAGTATATACACTAATTCATGCTAATTAATTCCTCCCTCTTGTTTTCCTCTCTGAACACACCATATCCCTAATAAGAAATATTTCAGATATTGTGACTTTCTATGGAATTTAGTCATTCTTTCTAAAAAACATTGCAGTATAACTTTGGGTCATTCAATTTTATTCTGTGAAATAGTAATATATACCTGCTGCTAAATTGGTAGATGTATCCCTTCCTTAAAAAATTACACAGACCAAGGTGTCTTGATATGTGGAATCTTAAGAAGACACAGACTAGAGTGGCCTCTTTAGAACTAAAATTGTGGACTGTGAATCTAGGCAAACGTACAGTTTCCATTCAATAAAAAGGGATGTAATAAATGGCACAGGAGTGGACTTGAAAATTTAAAACCACATAGCGCTAAAACAATTTCAGAACTATAGGACACAAGATATTACAAGATAGGAGGGCAAAATGTCACACAGAGAGTGTTTCCCTCAACCTTTTCTCTAATTGAAACTTGCCATAGAAGTTTTTGATCTCTCTCTATGGCTTTTGATAAAAGCAGAAGTATGAGAAATCCTCTCTCCAACCTGAATTTAAAATACTGGATGATATGTAAGCTACAGGAACAACTAAATGTGTACATTAGCCACAGAATTAGAATAAAAGCATTCTAGGCCATGTATATAACATAATTGTGTGGTGGGTTTTCTTTTCTCCATTATAGGATGGTATCTGTGACTAATCACATTTTCTGCCTTATAGGCCTGCCTCGTCCCCTCAACTTTCACACGATGATACTCATTCACGCATTGAACATTATGCTAGCAGGTATGAGACTAGTTGAATGCCAGGCAAATATTGATTAAAGTAACTAACCAAGGAAAGCTAACCTATAATAATTTTAAACGAATCTTTTCTTTTTTCCCCCCAACTTGTCTGATTTCTACTAATCAACCTGCCCTCTAACGTGCATGCCATTTCACTGCATGTTGGTTTTGGACACTAATAAGAGCATTAGTCCAGAACAATCTTCCCGAACCCCAGCATTTAAATATTTCTGATAGTTTTGTTATGTTTTATATACTGAGCACGTTTAATAAATTGGCTTAGAAACCACATAACCTTTTTAGAAAACCACTAGCCCAGACATAAGTATGTGAAGAAATGATACTATGTTACATGGAGAATATGAAAGCATTGGCTTTCCATTTGTGTGTTTATTTTACATAATATGCTGTAAATAAGAGAATAATTGATTTTCCTTCTCCTTGGACTTTTCTGTCTTACCTTCTTTGTGTTTGAGATCATTTTATACCTAAAATCTGAATTGCTAATTGTAAGATATCTTATGCTTGTTAAATAAATCTGTAAGAGTTTGGTTAACTTTTTTTGTTGTAAAAATACCTTATTGTCTGAGGTGAATGAGGTGTTTTTGTTTTTAATATATTTTTATTGATTTCAGAGAGGAAGGGAGAGGGAGAGAGAAATCGAAACATCAATGATGAGAGAGAATCGTTGATCAGCTGCCTCCCCCACCAGGGACTGAGCCCGTAACCAGGCATGTGCCCTGACCGGGAATCAAACCATGACCTCCTGGTTCATAGGTTGTTGCTCAACCACTGGGCCACTCTGGATGGGCTGAGGTGAAGGAGGTTTTTAACGTTAAAAATTGGTAGCAGAAGGTGTAGAGCACTTACTGTGAATCCATCCTTTATCAATATTCTCACTGCTGAACATGTCTGTCATCAGTGGGAAACTTTAATCATCTTAAAAAACAAGGGGTAGTAGTGTAAGGATACAGAGTATATTTGTGGTTAGGGAAGCTTTCTTGTGAAAACAAAGGCTTGTTCTCAGTGAAAGGAAGATCGATCTGTGAAGGAGAAAAGAAAAACAAAATATGCCTTCCTTTATAATTTATAGCATAAATGTAAAGCTACTAACCAGCTGTGGTCTACCACTCACTGCCTCAAATGGTTCGGCCAACACACACATCCTTTAATTTGAAGGATTCCTTTCTCCTCTTGACGTGATTTATCCGTTAGTTTTCAGGAATGTTCGATTAGGTCTTGAATAGATTCTAAGAAGTCACATAAGTTTTAATGAGCTTTTACGTTTTTTATCAGGCTAGCAGAAATGGAAAACAGCAATGGATCTTATCTAAATGATAGCATCTCTCCTAATGAGAGCATGTAAGTATCCCGTCTCTTTTTACAAAATGTTCCTGAAGATGAAATTGCTTTGAGGGATTTAGAGGTAGGATAGCTCAGAAGATAGAAATTAGCATTACATACATTTGATCTTTTAAGGAGCCCTTCATTTACTTTTTTTTTTCTTAACTCTTAACCTGATACGGAATGAGCTCATCCAAACTGTGGCATTATTGGTATTCCAGAATAGCAAAAACAGTTCACCTTATCCTTATTTAATTCCATATTACCACAAATTGCAGAGTTCCAAATAGTTAAACTATATTAAATGATTGATCTTTGACCAGACCTGCCCGATATTTAAATTGATTGGGTAGTAATTTTTAAAAAATATATTTTTATTAATTTCAGAGAGGAAGGGAGAGGGAGAGAGACATAGAAACATCAATGATGAGAGAGAATCATTGATCGGCTGCCTCCCGCACGCTCCCTACTGGGGATGGAGTCCGCAACCTGGGCATGTACCCTTGATTGGAATCAAACACGGGACCTTTCAGTCCACAGGCCGATGCTCTATCCACTGAGCCAAACTGGCTAGGGAAATTGGGTAGTAGTTTTTAAAGTGATGGGTAGGTAGTATTTTTTCCACTCATGGGGAAGTGGTGACATAATCTTGCAGAGTTGTATTGGTATTTCCGTATGGTAGGTTAGTTGTGCATTTTTCTGCAGAGATCCGAAGCAGTAGGGTTTTTTGATTTAGCATCTTCACCAGCTAGATAAAGGGAGACAATCTTGTAAAGGGTTTTAGAAGAGGAAGTCCAAATTCAGGTCACAGGTTTTTAGTGGAATGCTAAACCAGGCCTGTCGAACTTAAGGAAGGAGAGAGAGTGATGTTAAAAGTGTCAGGGAGCAGAGCTCTGGCAGCGAAATGGAAGCTTCCTTATAACCAGGGGAAGTATTCACAATACGGGGCCCAGAGGAATATCACCATGAACCAAGGGCCTGCAGTGGAGGGAGTAGATTAAGAAACTAGTAGGAGGGGAAAATAAAGCTCTGCTAACTGAATAGATAATTTAGAGAGAAGAAATCTGGTCAAAATACAACATGTTTTTAGTTTGAGAACTAACGGATATCGCACCAGTTTGTCATGGAAAATCTAGACAAAGGGACGAGTGGTAAATTTGTCATAGGTAGTTGATATGGCAACACAAAGTTACACTCAGATGAGAAGAGGCTGAGGGAAGTAATATCAAAGGGGCATTTATACATAACTGGTTATTGAAGACATGGAAATAAATCATCTCATCTGATACATACAAGCAGTTAATGTAATAATAGAGCCAAGTCAACACTCAACCAATCGTGTATGACTTATTTACAACAAAACAACCTTTTCCCCAAACATAACTCTGGTGCATTCTCTTTCTTAGCTATGGGGGAAAGTATTAATAGTATTAATATATAAAGTACTTTGACAGGGAAATATGTGTCCAAAGAATCAACCAAGTGTAAACAACCTGAGTTATTTGCTTCTCCTGGTCACTGATTTTAATATTAGAAGCTCTAGCACATTTAATTCAAGTTGTATCTGTATGATAATGGCGCCCCTCCATTGACTGCTTAAGAGAACAGTAAGATAAGTTTAATTGTAACCATTTTTTAATATGTTTCTATTGATTTCAGAGAGAGGAAGGGAGAGGGAGAAAGAGAGAAACAACAAGGAGGAGAGGGAATCATTGATCGGCTGCCTCCTGCATGTCCCCCACTGGGGATCGAGCCTGCAACCAGGACATGTGCCCTGACCGGGAATCAAACCATGACCTCCTGGTTCATAGGTCGACGCTCAACCACTGAGCCACATCGGCTGGGCTAATTATAACTATTTGTTGTAATTAAACATGAGAAGGTCTAGCAATAAAATGTCAGAATTTGGGAAGAGATAATAAATTAGACAGGCGGTAAAACTGCTTTTGTTTTATTTTTAAATGAAAAGCTTTAGTTCATTCTGAGGACATAAAATCCATTTGAATCAGTCTTGGATGGTAGAATCGTGATATTTTAGGGGCAGGTCTGGAGAATTGGTTTGGAGGATTGGTTGACTTAAGTGTTTGTTTTTAACATCCAATGATTACTTTTAGTCAACATTTCACTTCTTAACCAATTACCTGGCTTGATGGACCAAAATAATTTAAATCAGGAGGAGGATTTTTTTCCTAAAAATCTGAATTTTTTTTCAACTCACAAGATATGGCAATGAGAAAAGGAAATTAAATGGGTGTGGAGAGGGGAATATGAACCTATATCTTGATGGTATTTACCCAAACAGAGATTTAGTCTCTCAATAGAACAGAGTGAAGTTCTTACAACATGGGAATACACAGGCTTTTCAGGAGCTGGGAGCAATGCATTCAGAAAATATTTTTTTTCTGTGTAGCAGAGAGCTCCCAGTTTAAAGGAAAGATTGTGGCTGCCTCCCAAAATACAAGCCTTTTGCCTCTTTGTTCCCCAAGATTAGCTGTTCTAAAGAACAAGTCCAGTTTCTTTTAGTTACTTTAATGGATTTTTTCTTCCAATTTTTGTTTTTTTATCTAAATAATAATTGAATAAACCAATCATTTATCTACAGTTTCATTATTGTTACTATCTAGCCTCTGTGGTTTTTATAAGTTGAAACTGGCTTACCAAAGTGACATTTTTTGGTTACATTGCCGTCCACTAAACAAAATATTTACTCATACTATTTTATTTTTATTTTTAAATATATTTTTATTATTGATTTCAGAGAGGAAAAGAGACAGATAGAAGCATCAGTGATGAAAGAATCATTGATCGGCTGCCTCCTGCACGCCCCCCACTAGGGATGGAGCCCGCAAACCGGGCATGTGCCCTGACTGGGAATCAAAATGTGACCTCCTAGTTCATAAGTCAATGCTCAACAACTGAGCCACTCCAGCTGGGCTTTACTCATATTATTTTAAGGCAGCAGTTTTTTTTCCTGGTCAGTATCAATTGGTGAACATATTACCTTGATATGCTTGGTAAAAACATTATACAGCCATTATTATATCTTCTAATATTTATTAGCTATTGATTATATCTTCTAATATTTATTAGCTATTGGTTAAACTATTAACATAGAGTCCCAATATTTCTGTAATTCTGCCATTAATTTACCCATGTAAATAGGCCAATCAAATTCAATTGAAAAGAAGAAAAACACTTGAATTGTCACCCGCAGGATGGTAGACCACAACCGCAGCAGTATCAAAATGGAAAAAGCGTCTAATTAATTGTTAAGAGCAAATAAATGTTTCTATTTTTAAATACACACCTGAGTCCCTGATCCCCAACACAAGTAAGTGGGGGAAAAACCAAAACCTTTGATTTTATTTTCCAGAGATGATGAACATTTGTTAATCCAGCATTACTGCCAAAGTTTGAACCAGGACTCCCCCCTGAGCCAGCCTCGTAGTCCTGCCCAGATCTTGATTTCCTTAGAGAGTGAGGAAAGAGGGGAGCTAGAGAGAATCCTAGCAGATCTTGAAGAAGAAAACAGGTGAGTTTTCTTTCTAGCTTTGTCATTGGTATGCAGAGTGCATACACTTGCACACATAGAAAAGTGCCAGGAATCTTCACTTAGAGTCGTTCTATGTCTAATTGTTTTCTCCAATAATCTGTTTAGCTCCATGTACTGATTCTCTCTCTCTCTCTTTTTAATCGGAAAGAAGAAAATTAATGCAGTAGTATAATTAAGAATTCATATTTTAGGTGGGGAAGGGATGAACACTGGTGGTGATATTTGATTTGTTGCATGTGTTCAGAGGCTTTGATTTCTGTGTGAGAACAGAATTTAAGAACAAAGCAGGTCATTTAATTTTATGATTATGATTTGTACATGTCTTCGGCCATATTATCTCTCTCAAAGCATTTAAGAAAGTAGGTTCGTTGGCTTGGTCATGCTTGGGAACAAATTAGTGCATCTTATTTCTCATCATCAGACGCAGTCATCACTGATGCTCACCATTATAGCAGATGAGGGAGATGATTCCTGATGTCAAGCATCACCTGAAAAAGATGTTCATGTAAAAATATTAGTAATTGCAGAAGTAAAAGACTAAAGAAAATTCACAATGACTGCAGCTAGGACAAGGATGTCAAAATCTGGGATATTGTATGGTGTCAGGATAATGCAAATCATTGGGCTTTTACTTTTGTATTACACTTATATCACAGGACCCTTGGGTATGAAAGACTTTTTTGCACATGATCACTTCTAATTCAGTGTGCTGTCTTTAGACGAATGCCACCAGGCAAGTCTGTAAAGGAGCAATTGCTCAAATCTGTGGGACTTGAGTACTTTCATCTCCTTGGTTTAGCCCAGGGCACCAAGATTTCTTAATCCAGGAACACAGTGTATCCGGAGAACCAATGCCCTCAGGGAGTATGTCACCTCAAGATGAAAAAGCAAACTGCCATTCATCCAGTGCTTTCCGCTGTCACTTCCCTGTTTCTAGCTCTTAATACCTTTGACCTATAAGCAGAGCTTCTTTACCTGGTCGGCTCCCCTTTAGTCTCTTTCCCACCCCTTCAATAAACCCTCCATACTGACTCTAGTTGTACATCTTTCCAGAACCAAGACCCATGATGGCATTCTTCTGGCATTGGATTTCTGAAAAAAAAAAAAAAATCTGGCTTCTCAGCTGGACAGTGAAAACCTTCCACAAATTTCTCTTCACCTGCTATTACAGCTTCATCTTCTTTTGTACCTCTGTTCCAGCCTTGATGAGAGGGAATTACTAATCGCCTACCTCCTGCATGCCCCACACTGGGAATGGAGCCCACAACCTAGGCATGTGCACTGACCAGGAATCAAACCAGTGACCTCCTGGCTCATAGGTCAATGCTCAGTCACAGCCTAATCTATCTTTTGTCTAGAGAGTCTCAGTTTTCCTTTTTATCAGTTATTCCTAATGCCTCCCTCTAATGTGATGGCAAATGCCCTTGGGACAAGGACTGTGTGTGTGTGTGTTTTAATATTCTTAATGTCCCCTATAGTTCCTACCACAATGTGAATGTTCAATACATATTCAGGAAATATTCAGTAAAACCTAAGTTAAGAATACAGCAAGACTGTCACACAAGTATCAGGAGGTTATCCTGAACATTTTGTTGGTTTTAGTAGTAACATTATTTTTGGCCTCATTTGCAAGACTGATAGTTAAAACATTTCCCTCTACTTTATTGAGGATCATCATTAGTACCTATTTATGTTAAATCTTTAATATTTTAGGGGTCAAAGTTAAATAGGGGTAAAAAGTTAGGATTGGCATTATAAATAGAATTTGATGTTACCCAGGAATAAAAATATTTTTGAACTATATAATTGTTGCCATTGTACAGTGTATCTTTGTATTGAAACCAGACAATAAAGGGGTCCGGGATGCCTGTCACTACTTGAGCCAATTCGGCAGAGACAGGGTTGAATCATATATGAGCATTTATTCCAATAATACAGGCAGTATGGGAGAGCAGCACGTCATCCACAAAAATATGCTCTGTAGCCTGTGATAAGCCAGCTATTTATATAGGGTAGGACAAGGATTACATGGGGAAGTAGGGATTACAGTCATGGGGAAGTAGGCTATGCAGGCTTTTGCGGAACTCCATGTTTGGGCAACAAGGTTGTTAATCTTTCCATGATAATAGGCAGTTCATAAATGAGAATGGACTGCACTCTAAGGTTGACTCCCAATTCCAAGTTTGACTCCCAGATCCCAGGACGTACAACTCCCAACCACATTAGAATGTCCTTTCTTTAACCAGAACAAGGCAATCGCGGTTAACAGAGCATGATTAATATTTCCCATAACCATTGCTAGTCTTCAATATTCTATTTTTGTCCCTAACAGTATCACATTGGTCAAGAGGTCTGTCTTGTTTGCTGTTAGCATATTTTCCTTCCATACCATGACAACCGGGCCAAGAGAGTTGATAGAGTACCGATAACTATCATTTATATATAATCTCATCATTTCCAGAGCACTTTAATGAATTTGGGTCATTTAATCTTCCTAAAAGCCCTTTAAAGAAGACAGATGGGAAAATTCAGGTTCAGAGAGGTTCAAATGGCTTGACCCAGATTTCACAATCAGCCACTGACAGAACCAAGTTCACATCCAGATTCTTCTGACTCAAAATAGCCAACTCTACCTTGCACCAGAGAATATTCTCTGGAATGTACCTTAATTTGAGGGAATATTTTAAAAGACTAGACATGATTAAACCAGTTCATCTACTTGCAGTACGAGTGGTAACCACTTTTCTCTGAAAGATATCCAAGACCATTCATTCCCCAAGAATGGAATGGTTTATTCTCTAAAAGAAAAATAGTTATACTAAAGGCTGCTTAGAGGTCCAAAATGAAGAATCTAGTATTGATGCATATATTACTCTAAGTTATCTTGACCTTCAAGTGCAGGTCAGGATGAGCTTTCTTTCTCTCTCCACTATGCCACTTCCTACTAAATCCCAAAGAAATGTCTCTGTAGAGCTCTCCAGAAAATAGCCCGACTGGTTTCCTTCGCTCTGTCCTCTCCTATTTTCTTCTTTCTTTCTTTCTTTCCTTTCCTTTCCTTCCCTTTCCTTTCCTTTCCTTTCCTTTCCTTTCCTTTCTTTCTTTCTTTTTTTTTTTTGGCTTGGATCTGCTTTTTATTTTATTTTTTTACTTTGGGCAAATCATTTTATTTTATTTATTTTTATTTTTTAATTTTTTTCTTTATTGATTAAGATATTACATATGTGTCCTTATCTATTTTCTTGCACTTCTACTCAAAGAGCTTCAGAACCATAGCTTAGCCTTCATGATCCTTGAATTCAGCCTTTAATTCACCATTTCCTGTCTTTCCTCTGAGCGATCCCAGGAGGTCATTAGATGCCCTCTCTGTGCCTGCCAAGCCGGATATATTTTCCAAGTCAAATTGTCTACATAATTGGGCAGATAGAAGCCTACTTTTAGAGAAAATGGAAAAGGATATTTAAAATTGAGATTGTCGTGGACGTGTGCTTACTACATCTATTGTCTTTTGTGTTCCTTTATTCTGTAGCTATGACATCTCGAAATGCCAGCTGGCAAAGAAAAAAGGCTTGGAGATCCCTATTCCTGACTAGATATATTACTGAATTCTGTTATTCTTATTTATGTCACCCCCCTTCAATCTCTTTGAAAAACAGAGAATGGCTATTTAGAAATGTCTCAGGGGTGTCATTAGAATTTTGTTTCTCCCGGTTGTTGCACATATCATTCAATAAATATTGTGGAACAAATGAATTGACATGAAGCTGAATTTATTTTTTTAAGGAGGGCGATTTTTTTGTTGTTAATCCTCACCCGAGGATATTTTTCCCATTGATTTTTTTAGAGAGAGTGCAAGCAAGGGAGAGAGACGCAGAGACAAAACATCAATGAGAGACACATCGATTGTTTGCCTCCCACCCACCCCTGACTGAGGCTGGGGATTGAGCCTGCAACTGAGGCATGTGACCTTGACTGGAATTGAACCCTCGACCCTTCAGTCCGTGGGCTGATGCACTATCCACTGAGCCAAACTGGCTAGGGCAGCTGAATTTATTTTCACTGTAGCACCCATGCATGTACTTTGGACTGAAATTTTTTTTAAAACCTAATTTCATGGAGAAAAGCCTTTCAAAAGCTTTTCTTATGATTCCTTTTCAAAATACTCCCCCTTTCCAAAATTCCTTGATTAGTGCCAAGCAGTGCTTTGTCATAGATTTAGAATGTTACAAATTCATTTCCCAAATTTTGGGCCCTTTATCTCTCCCCCACTGTTATTCTCTGATTCATGGTTTATGCCACAAAAATAAGGTGAAAACTCTGAGCAAAGCTACATCTGACTCTGAATTTTCTCAATAGTGTCTGTCATAAATTTGGGGGACTAGTGCCTTATATAGTCCTTAATGTTTCACTCTGCATAATGTATCTCCCTCATACCACAGATAACTCAGATTCACATTTATTTGGTCAAGACCATTTGGATATTGAGAATGTGCTTCATTGTGTTTCCTTAACATTGCAAACTCAAAGTTTGCCTTCCCCCTGCATATATTAAAGCCTGCAGTCTTCTTCCTTAAATCTGCAGTGTCAAATTCCGACTTCTTTTTCTCTGCACTCTCTAAATGAACCAAGACTTGCTCTGAAATTCTAGGCATGACCCTAGCAATGAAGAGATAGCCTTTATGAGAGACAAAAACATGGATTGTCATTCTGCTGCCTGCATAGCAAATTGATTACATTACTCCCAAGTTTTAAAGGAGGGCAACCTGATTCACTGTGAAGTCTAAAGTTAAAGTTGTTAGTTGATGTTACATGACAACAGGAAATTCTGTGGATTTTTAGTACCTACTCAGTACCTTTTATCTTTTTTGTTGGGCAACTAGATGTTATACAGCCTAAATTTGAGTTTTCTCTTACTCCTTTCACTCCTCCAGTGATTACGCTACATTGTATACTAGTGGCCTGGTGCACGGATTCGTGCACAT